CCTGCTGTCTTAGTTGTTCGTGCTATAAGTGTTTTTGCTGATCTAGCAATCTTGCAACTGTTAATGAGAATGTACATTGCCTCCACTCACTCACTGATTGCAATTTCTGACATTAAATAGAACAGGCTGTTATAAAAGAAAAATATGGTGAACAAGGATGCAATGTTGGTGAAGATGGTGGTTTTTCTCCAAACTTATCCAGGCAAGTTTTTCTTATTTGATGCTTGATAATCCTGTCTTTGAAAATGTTGTGACAACTCCCAGTCTGCAAATCAGCCTCTGAAAATAAATTTCTGAGAATAAGAATGATTGGAAAAAGAAAATAGATCAAGGAAAAGTACAGTGCATGCGTAAATCATAAAAAGCTACCATATCTTTTCTCCAGGATAGTTACAATCTGCTGTCTGCCCCCCTAAAGGAGAGCAATGTATGTTCAAAACTCATATGGGGTTCTTATTTGATTATATCCATTGGCAGTGTTCAAGAAGGATTGAATCTTGTTAAAGAGGCTATCAGCAGAACAGGGTACAGTGAGAAAATTAAGATGGCCATTGATGTCGCTGCTACCACCTTTTGCATAGGTAATCTGCTTTTTTCTGCACAATAGTCATATTATTATGGTATGTGACTTGTCATAAAGAAAATAAAGAAGTTAGTCAATGGTCAAGAACTGTTTTTGAGATCATGGTCCTGTGCGTAGTTAGAGAAATTTCTGGGGAAATGTTAACTCTTCTACTGTATTATGCGGCCTATCTACGGGTTCTGCCTCATTTCTAACTTATGGCCCGGAAACCGAGGATTTTCTTTTGTGTACGGGGACTGCTTGCTTTCAACAACTGATCCTGTCTTTTCGCTTCGACCCAATGTAGGTACCAAGTATGATTTGGACTACAAATTCCAAAATAAATCTGGGCAGAATTTCAAGTCAGGAGATGATATGATTAAGATGTACGAAGAACTATGTGCTGGTATATATATGGATGCATTCTAAGACTTCTTTGCTGCCATAAATTTTTCAATATTTGATGTGTACTTTTCTTGGGCCTCAGCGTACCCAATTGTTTCGATTGAAGATCCATTTGATAAGGAGGATTGGGAACATGTCAAGCGTTTCTCTGACCTTGGACTTTGTCAGGTATGTTCATTAAATTTGGGTTTATCTTTTGTTTACATACATACGAGGAGCTGTAAAAGGATTTGTTCTCAGGTTGTAGGGGATAACTTATTGATGTCAAATCACAAACGTATTGAAAGAGCAATACATGAGTCCAGTTGCACTGCACTTCTTCTCAAGGTATATAGTTAGCATCAGATGAATTCTTCTTGATAAATTTTTGCTTAGCCTTTTCTTTTTCTTGAATTGTTTTTCTAATGTTAATAATGGTGGATTTCTGTATTGCATCACATAAAAAACCTTCAATGAAGATTAGGCAATTGATCCAGCATGCTACATTTATTGCAAAGTAGAATATATTTTTCCAATATCACATGTATGTGATATTTATACGTGATATTATGGTGATCTGTCAGTGGCTTTGGCATATTTTATAATCTAATTACCATGGCTTAAATTAGGTAAATCAGATTGGGACAGTAACAGAAGCCCTTGAAGTGGTGAAGCTGGCAAAGGATGCCCACTGGGGTGTGGTGGTATCTCATAGAAGTGGAGAAACAGAAGATTCTTTTATAGCTGATTTATCTGTTGGCCTTGCCATGGGTCAGATCAAAACAGGCGCTCCTTGCAGGGGAGAGCGACTAGCAAAATACAACCAGGTTCACTTTCTTTATTGTTACCCAGTTTTTCTTGTGTTTGTGCTGGGTGGGTGGGGATGAGAGAGAGCCTGATTGCTAGCTAGTGCTCCTATAAGTATGAAGAAATGAAAAACTTTTACCATGAACCTCCATGCCTGTAAGATTGATAGTGACTACCATTATGATCCTTGGGCAAGACAAACTTCAAGTTTGGGAAGAGTAGGAAGAAAGGAATAACTCCTAACCATTCTAGTGAAAGCTTTATTCACTATCGTGGTAACAGATTTTCCTGTTGTTCTTTCTTTTTTTGTATCTTCATGCTAATGAACAATGCTACTAGTTTTTTTTTATATCATTATTTTTTTTAAGTTGTTAATCTTTCATACCCTTTTATTAAATCTAGTCTCCAAGAAGAAAATCACAGACCTATTTATCTGTTAATGATATGCATGAACTTCCCTTCATTGCAATCATATGTGATAAGAAACTGAGACTTTTTTTATTAATCTGTAAAGGCTTACAAGTTGAATGGCTATCAAGGTTGATATGAACCTAATATACATAACTTTCTTGCAGTTGCTTCGGATTGAGGAAGAACTGGGTGATCAAGCAGTTTATGCAGGTGAAGATTGGAGAGCAACCTGATCAGTCCTTCAAAGCTTTTCATCCTGCAGTCCTTTATGATCTAAGTTTGAGGCATCAAAAGTAAAACTCCCTTTGTATTGAGCAAGTGGCATTCTGGAGCAATGTTGTAAGTCTTTCTTTTGGCTTCGTGTGAGTGTGCCCCCACCCTATTTTTTTGGAGAACATGAAGGTGCTTTCAGAAAACTTAGTTGAGTCAGCCAAAGTTCTGTTACAGACCTTGTTTTTAGGTAACTGTAAAGGGAAAATTCATTCCTGATCTGTAGTGCAAAATCCCTTTATCTTTTTAGTTCTTTAGCTACTGTTTGTGTGTTACGGATTATGCAGATCTTAAAGCTTTTCAATCCTTTGACTTGTTCCAGTTCATTTCCTACCATTGGTAACCTAAATGGCTTTTGTGGCTAGCATGTCCTCATGTGCGTTTCCATTATCTTCTGCTGTATGTTTTGATCCGATACCAGTAGCCAGGAAATTTATGGTTGGCGCTCAAAAGTTTGGGAAAAAATTGTGTTAGCTTCTTTATGATGTTTTGAGTGCGATATGGTGGCATGCTGCTAAAAACTCGATATCATCTGAAAGAAAGAAACTAATGGATCATTGTTAGGAGGGAAACAGCCCCTATTGCATTTAACATGTGAACCGAAACGACACTGGAACCTTTTTTTTATTATTATTATTGATTGATTGCCATTTCCGTGAGAATATATAAACTTGCTTGCTCCATGAAGTGAAAGACAACGATGTGCGTTTTGTTAAATACAGTACTTGCTTTGATCGACCAATTGACACCTTACGTTTGCTAGATTTTTTATTTTATGATCCTTAAACCTCTAATTCTTTGGCTTTGTACACTCCACGCGTCTGAAAAAGACAGACCTTCAATCTTATAATGGTCAGGGAACGAGGAAATGTTGAATCGTAAGATCCAGCAAATATCAACGGAACCGCTAATGAGATCCTCGAAGAAGTGCCAGAGCCAGCTCCGCTGCCCATCCACTTGGCTTTTTTATTTTTGTGCCGGGGTGGTGGTGGGGGTGGTGTTGGTGAAATCTCATGATTCTCCTAAATCTAATATACATGGAATTTTTATTTTATTAAAATAAGAAAAGAAATTAGTTTTGATGGCAAAACCAACCTAAAAATATAAAATGATTCTAAGAAAAATAATTACTGTAAATTAAGAGAACCTAACTAAAACCAACTCGGAAATCGATCAATGACAGAAAAGTTGCAGAAATAAGCATTAGTTCTGATTATATGTATAAATTTTCAAAAAATTATCTCCAAAAGGGTAGAGCTAGCCATGCAAGCTATAGCCATGAAATCTCAAAAATCATAAATATCACATTCTTTTTATTCAACCATTCATAATTTAGATCGTAAAGAAAGCAAATTCCATTCATTTAAAATGATTAAATAGAGAGAGAGCAAAATTTCCGGATCACCATACATATTACAAATCAAGTGCCAGCCCAACCCTGAAGCTGAAAAGGGTTTCTCAAGTCTAACCCCTTGACACTAGCCCTAGCCCTGGGTGGACAAAAGTACACAAAACGACAATATAATAACCCGTTACTCTCATAGCGAAACCTGAGAACATTTTTCTAGCGGATTCAGGACCATTTTTATTTTTCAGGAAAATAAACATTATCTTTAATATTTATTTCTTATTTAATTTATGAATACTTATATTAACTCTAGTTTAAGAAATCAAATATTATCTTTATTAATATTGGGTTTTTTTTTTCAAAAATTTCCGTACCTGGATATCCTAAATAATCTCTCATAATTCTTATTAAATCTCAAAATATTAAAGTCTACTAAATACCAGATGGACTAGTCTTTGGAAAGGAAAAATATTATTATAAATAATTTAGAGTTGGTTTAGGAATTTCTAAACTAAATGAAAAAAAAAAATTATTAAGAACAATATCTAATTTTATAAAATGAATTAATTATACAATGGAATTAATATAGAGATTTCTAAATTAATTAAGAAAAATAAAATTACTAAATACAATATTTAATTTCCTAAAAAATCTCCTGCATCACTAACTTTTTCAGCCAACCAAACAAAACAGAAAAGGAAACCTTTCTCCAACTTTGACTCCTCAAAAACTTCAAAGCCTTCTTACAATCAATCTTCAACCCCTATATTTAAGAGAATTCATGTAAACCTGGTAATAAATCTTCTCTCTTGATTTACAAAAACCATTCCCACTTTCTCTCCAACCAAACAGAATTTTCGTTTCTCTATCACATTACCTCTCCTCTAGCTATATCTTCAGTCTTCCTTTTCTTCGTATTTTCTCCATGTTTATTTCGTTCAAACCATGAACAAGGTCCATGAAAACAAAAATAGATAGCCCAACTCGTTTTTTCAGAGTTTTTCCTCCTACCCTTTTATCAATTTCTAAGAAGTAACCCCCAAACAATGAGTCGTCTATTTAGCCTCGGGCTGATTGCATCATGGTACTCCTCAAATATAGGAGTTTTGCTATTAAACAAATATTTACTTAGCAACTATGGATTCAAGTACCCCATATTTCTCACTCTGTGTCATATGATGGCATGTTCAATGTTTAGTTATATTGCAATTTCGTGGCTCAAGATTGTGCCTTTGCAGACCATGAGGTCAAAATCACAGTTTTTGAAGATCTCTGCTCTTGGGATCATTTTTTGTTCCTCTGTGGTGGCTGGAAATATATCTCTTCGATATCTTCCAGTATCGTTTAATCAGGCTATTGGGGCCACCACCCCATTTTTCACTGCAGTGTTTGCATATTTGATGACACTTGGAAGGGAAGGTTGGCTTACTTATGTTTCTCTCGTTCCTGTTGTTGCTGGTTGTGTCATTGCTAGTGGGGTGAGAACTTTTTTCTTCTTTCTTATATTTTTGTTGTTTTGGTGTATGATCGCTCGGAATGGATCCAAAGGATCCATATAGCCGATCCCAGCAAGCTTGGGATCGAGGCTTGGTTGTTTTTGTTGTTGTATATTTTTGCTTTTTGCTCATACAGTTGGTTCTCTTGTTAATAATTTTTTAACAACTTATTGCTTAAAGATAGCCGTTTGAATGTTTTTGGTAGAACTTCTTAGGTGTCATTGTCATTGAGATCGTTGTTGGTTATTGAAAATTGTTGGATTCTTACAATGGAAAGAGCAAGCTGGTGGCATTGCATGTTGCAACGAGTTTAATTCAATCTCTTGCAGAGGTTCTATACCGCGCTGAATTTGACAATTACTGTTTATGTTACTTCTCTTTAGGTGTTAATCTTTAGCTATAATGCTACTAGAACAGGTTTTTGAGGAACCTCTTTGATTGTTTTAGATAATTCTTTGATGTGTTAATTCTCTATTTTTCCTTTGCTGATGAAAAAATCATTAACAGATTCGATCTCATTTGTTTTTCTCATTACTTGACTGAAGGGGGAGCCGAGTTTTAATCTTTTCGGGTTTTTAATGTGTATCGGTGCTACGGCGGCACGTGCACTCAAGACTGTGGTTCAAGGGATTTTGCTATCCTCTGAAGGGTAATGAATGCCTCTGCATTTTGCAACTCAAAATTTGAACCTGCTCTCTATGTTCTTGTTCTAATATCAGGGTTTGAATGGACAAGATTTGATAATCTCACTGTGTTACCAGGGAAAGACTCCATTCTATGAACCTCTTGATGTATATGGCTCCGGTAGCAGTTGCAGTCCTTGTTCCTGCTGCTTATTTTATGGAGGGAGATGTGGTTGGAATCACAATTTCCCTAGCAAGGGATGATAAGAAATTCATATTCTATCTGATCTTCAATTCTTCTCTAGCATATCTTGTGAACTTGACCAACTTCTTGGTCACTAAACATACCAGTGCTTTGACACTCCAGGTATCTTCGGCGACTCTTCCTTGCCTGCCCTCTTAATAATGTTATACTTTTTATAAGTTGGGCATCTGACTTCTGATATAACCATTCCTTTACTCTATACAAATACATTGTTTCAAAAACTTGTAATCGCGGTATCCATCATCTAGCACGTTATCAAATTGAGACCCTCGTGTGCAGTAGGGTTTGCTCCTAATGAACCATGACCATTTAGGACTGTCCAAGCTAGGTTTCATTTTGAAATGGCCTCTGCAAAATCTGCAGTTGCACTGCATCTATTATCACAAGTTTTAATCTGGCGGACTGCAAATATCCAGCCTTTGTGGTGTTCCTCACAAGTCACCACACATCAATGACCCTTTTCTATATCAAAGCTTTGCTTGTCATGTACATTGAAGAATCAATCTTTTTCCTTGATAGAGTTTGGGGCATTAGTTGTGATTTTATTTGCATTATTCAGGGTAATCTCTAAATTCAGATTAAGATTCATGAGCTGTCTTTCTAGGTCCTGGGAAATGCAAAGGGAGCTGTTGCAGTGGTTATTTCAATTTTGATATTCCGGAATCCTGTTTCGGTGACTGGGATCTTTGGATACAGCATCACTGTGGCTGGGGTTGTTCTCTACAATGAAGCCAAGAAAAGGAGCAGGAACGATTGACACATCATGCAGTGCGTTCAAATATCGATTCTATCTATTTTATGATAATTTATTTATCAGCACGCAGCAGCAGCAAATTTTGTTGACCGAGATCGAAGCAAGTTTGTGCAGCAGATGCTATATCAAGAAGAGATACTCAGAGAAAGCAGAGACGCCCCTTCGGTGCAAGGTCATACCTTATCTGGGGAGTGGCAGAAAATCTTGATTGATCTTATTTTTCTATTTTTTGGTAAAAAATTATGATTATTTTTTCAGTTTCCTGGTCAACAGCAGCACCATTTGCAGTTCTCTGCTCATTTGGTGTGAGACTTCATCTTCACGGTGACAAACTTCAAACAGATAACAAGCTATTTTTTTATGTATCCCAGGAAATCGAAACCACAGGACTCCCATCCTCAATGTCATGGTATCGAGGCATCTTAAAAATAGAAGAAACATAAAACAGTTCTTTCCGAGGCACAAAGACGAACAGACCAATAAAAAACCTCCAAGGGAAAATGTTGAGTCCTGCTTATCACGTACATCTTAAAATCTCAGCAGTCATCATTAAAGGAAGCTAAAAAGAAAAATAATAACTACAGAGGGACTGGCTTCCTGCATGAAAGCCACTGAAGGAAATGATAAGCATCCTGAAAACGATTTCCGAATTTACAAAAGTGATTTAGGTAAAGGAGATAAATAATAGTTAAGCTCCGGGTTCAGGCTCATCCTCTTCCATCTTGGGAGCCAGGTAGAATCTGACATAGCCCATTTCAGCAATCTTGTACTCAACCACAACAGGCAGGTCTGGAGACATGCTGATTGTAACCGTGTTTGACAGTGGGGTTGCCTTGGTGAAGGAGTT